GTCTCAACGTAGGTTAAGTTCCAGCTCCAAGCCGTTTCTTATGGGCCATTGTGAGAACCTTTCTGATAGCTGTCTTGAGCCTTCCGCCATCTCTGCAGAAAAGAATTCACGCGGGCATGTTGGAAATGCTTTTGCAATTCTAGGGCCACCAGATTGTGGTATTGTGTGCATCTGTCGGTCGTGGTTAAATAGATTAGCGTAAAAAAATGAATTGTTGTAAAGTAATAAATCAATTCAATTTCCTCGCTGAATTCAGCATTGAAATTGAATTAGTGCCTAATTATACGTCAATTCAGTTTAGCGAGACTTATCGCGGAAACGTCGCCGCGCTGAAGCAGACAGGGCACCCAGCTCGACGGGCGTCTTACAACATTGCATCTCCTTCGGAGGCAGCCAGATAGCTTTTAGAGCGCACACCGCGGAGAAATTTACGTCATTTACTCTCCAGCAAAGCATTTTCCGAGAACAGATGTCTACAATTAAAGGGAGAGCTCGTCAAATGAAAAGACCCGAAAAATAGTTTCTCCCAAAAATGAAGTCTGCACTATATGACTACATCGTGACGTGCGTGTTTCTCGTGCTCACGTTATACTGGGTGCGCAGTTTTGGCTGCATCCCTTAGGTAAGAAATATAATTTTTTTTCGCATTAATTTTTTTTTTGTAGACCGCAGTAATTACTACGTATATGTTCAAAGAGAGACAGAGAGAGAGAAGGAGAGAGCATTTAAGAAAGGTTCATTTATTTCTTCTGCCCAAGCTATGTGGGCCTGGTCAAAGCAAATCCAGCAAATTAAGCCACCTAAGACTACCTCGACGAATGGATCGTTCATATTGTTCCAGGCTGTACATACGATTATTACTCGTTGCAGTGTTACTCAGCCGCAACGTCTTGCACTCTAAGACATCTGGAGCGTCGATTCTTCAGCAAAATACTTGGGCCAGCCAATCGCAGCAAGTTTACAACCTAAAGAAACTATCTGCGCTCTGGCACTGAGCCCGACCCTTCACCGTGTTGGGTGTCAAAGCACTGACGCTTTTTTCTAATTATTTTACGTCTCAGCATATTTCGAGCCTCGTCATTGGCCGAGCTTCCTCTGTAGATATATGCAATTGTCTCTCTCCTGCAGTCCTTTTCGGGAGTGGACGCTCCCGAGTGATAAGGTCTCGTACAGCTCGAAAGAACTATTTGCCTAGGCAGCCAACGCTGCGAGCTAAATGGACTAATCAAGCAGCGTCAAAAGGGCCAGTCGCGGGGTCTTTTTTCTTTTTCCTGTTTATGATTGGATGAAGCGGTGATAGAACACGTGCACTTAAAAAAGAAGTCCGTTCACTCTAAAAAAAAACCGTGTGTTTACTTTCCCGCACAACACTCGGAGAGCCAATCACCGCAACTTACGAAGGCAGCTCAGCGAATGACGATGCCGAAACATATGCCTGGACCAAAAAACGCAGCCTGAGCTGTGACATTAAGCAGTGCAAACGTGACGTTTTGCATTGCTCAATGTCGCAACTCCGACTGTGTTTTTTGGTGTAAACATATGTTTCGACATCGTCATTCGCTGAGCTGCCTCCGTAAGTTGCGGTGATTGGCTGTCCGAGTGTTGTGCGGGAAAGTAGTCTCACGGATTTTTTTTAGAGTGTGCTTCTACTTTCCCGCAGAACACTAGGACAGCCAATCACCACTACTTACGGAGGCAGCTCAGTGAATGACGATGCCGAAATATATGTTTAGACCAAAAAAGGCAGTCTGAGCAATACAAGCGTGACGTTATGCGCATTGGTTAATGTCACAACTCAGAGTGCATTTTTGGTCTAAACATATGTTTCGGCCAGACATGTACAAGTTACTCAAAAAAAGTAATTAAGTTTAAGTAGAGTAGAGTGGAAATTACTGAAACGGAAAGTAACTTAGTAAAGTACTAAATGCCGTAAAAAGTAGCGAATAACTTCTTAAGTTACTTTTATATTTATTATGTTAACAAGAAAGTATGAATATAAAGCGGCTTGTGTTTTGACAGAAATGCTTTCATAGCTGGTTCTGCTTGTGCGTGCCTAGTAGTTTTGCATTTTTTTTCTCGACAGTGATGTAATTCGGATATATCATTTATACTTTGAGGTTTAGCAATGCCTAAGCTTGACCTTGCAGAAAGTGTTTCATTGTTTACCATGAATTGCGTGAAGTACATGTAAAAGGTGCTTGAAGTAAAGCACAAGTCAATGAGAAGTTATGTGCTTCAAGTACATAATCTCAAGTACACCGGGTGCAATGTACTTGAAGTACTGTAAATACAATGTGCTTTCAAAGAGGAATACAAGTACTTTTTAACACAATCTTTCATGATGCCCTTTCGTCCCCTATACAGTGTTTTTTTCTTTTTCTTTTTTAACTGCTATGCATTATTCGGAGGTGCATCAATATTTTTGGAAATGGCCGCAAATATTGGATAACGTCAAGTCGCCACAGAGTAGTTGTTTTAGTCTAGCTGACAAACTATTTAACACGATCAAATTATAAGGCACTTATTCGTATCGGTCTCATAGCCGCCATTACTTCACTCAGAGAAATGGCCAAATGATGTCTCGAAAGACGATAGCGCGTTTTCACATGACGATGCGCCATTTTATTTGTTTTCAGATTTGAGGAACATAGTTTAAAGTCGGGGGTTGTACTTTCCTCGAAAGTACCAAAAAAACATTTAGTAAAGTACTACATGTTCAGAGAATATACTAAGTTCAAGTAAAGTACGAGATTTCTAAACACTCTTTAAGTAGCACTTTAACTATCATTTACTGAAAGCACTTCCCAACACTGCTTGTTTATTATTATTTTTTTATGTAAACACGTTGGGGAAATTACTAAGGTTTCTCGAACGATCTTCAAACCTGGAAAGACCTGCATATTCTGAGTCTTGGTAGGAAAGGCTAGGGTGCCTCAATGACCTTCTGTTTAGAGTGATGCCACCCTTTGTAGTACCCGATGCCGACAGCACGCGCTCACGGGGAAATACAAAGAAATCGACGAAAACAAAATGTCGCCATAGCACAGTCAGCGCCACAGACGCGTGCAGGGACACGCTCTTTCACGCGCTTCTGAACAAAATATAGATGTAAAAGTGGGAACAAAATGGCCAGATGTCTCCACCCTAAGCAAAGCGCACATGAAAGCACCCTAGGAAAGGCAACGCAAGGAGGTCACCTTTGCGTTGCCCTTTAGCACGCGATTCGTCAAGTACAACAGAAACCACAGGACCACCACATGAGCTTCAGAGCGCGTGCTGCATTTTGTTGCCTCCTTTGAGTGAGTATGCAGTGTGCACACCTTTTGTAGTGGGCGAGAGCTCCTACGTTGGGATAGAGGCGGGTACAAGCCCTTTCTTCAAATGAATCAAGTCTCCTTAAGTTTTGGGACGCCAAGAAAGGTCAGTCGTCGGCGCTAATCCCGCAGTTCCAGGGCCTTACTTGCGACATGTCCGTTCCCCGCGCCTCGTAGCAGGGTTGTTGCAGTGGGGGGCTCGTGAAAATTTTGGGTGGTTTCGGACCCCCCAAACCACTACCCCCCCCCCCCCCCCCCCCCTGCCTACGCCGGACGCTTTGTCTTTGTCTTGTCGCGCCGTTTTAAACCGAGGTGTTCATTAATCGACTAGCCCAAACATACGTTTTAGCATGCTCCCCCCCCCCCCCCCCCCCTCCCCCTCTGCAAACATCAACTGATTTTTCGAAATCGTACCCCTTTCTGTGCAGGAGTGTATGTTGATAAGCAAACCTACCACTAAATTCGAAAGGAATTTGTAATCTGAGGAGATGTTACTCGGAAAACGTAATTAAAGTAAACTACCAATTACCGAAATAAAAATCAAAATGAAAGTTACTGAACTACTCAGAAAAGTAGTTAAGCTAGCGTAACTTGAGTAGAGTAGTTGAACTACGTACATGTCTGGTTTCGGCATCGTCATTCGCTGAGCTGCCTCCGTAGGTAGAGGTGATTGGCTCTCCAAGTGTTATGTGGGAAAGTAGACGCACAGGCCTTTTTTTAGAGTGAACAGAAACACGACCAACACCACGCTGGAACCCTTTTTACGCTGTATTATTGATCCCATCAGCTCATGGCGTCGACTGCGTCTTGACATAAGCTGGAACCAAGTATAAGCATCCTTTGGCGCACTTTATTCTCAGAGAATATAAGGAAGAAAACAAAGGTTCGTTTATTTCCTCCCAAAAGAAATAGAAACGTGGGCTTGTCCAAAGCGAATCCACCGCAGGCGCCCTATAGAACTATTTCATCGAATGATTGTTTCGTATTGTTCGAGACCGTATGTGACAAACGAGTGCTGGCCGTAGAGGCTAAAGCGCCGTTTATGGGGCGCCTCCAGAGGAGCGTGCAAACACGGTGATGGCCGCAGACATGATGACAGAATTATTTGTGGACACGACTCAATCATGTTTCCTTCATGCGTACGCGTGCTCCGAAAATGTCCGGAGGCAGTTTTTTTCATGGCATACATACAGGACGGCGTCATTCAAGGAAGCAGTTTGAGCGCTGCTCAACACGCCCGCAGGCACGGCATTTTCACTGTAGCAGTTCATACTGCACGCTGTGCCAGCCAATATTGACCGCACCCTGTACCCTACCTGACTTCCTTAAGGCTCGCTCACACACTTGTGACTTATTCTCATTTCTTACGAAGATGGCGTCATCTACGGGAACCGCGGAGCACCTCGCGACTCCCGTATATTTCCTATATTTCTCGCGCATCCTTCTTTCACCATTGTATTGAGAAAGCTTCTTTCATACACGACGATGTCTCGTAGATTGTACGTACATTGTACCTCGCGAATACTTCAAGACCTTCGCTCTAGTGAAACGCGGTTCCAGGGCCACATCACAGATGGCGACAGTGTGTTTTCTCGTCGTAAGATATCACAAGGGGTCGTAATGCAGTCGGTGGTAAGCAGTCGCAAGTGGGTGACCCAGCCTTTGGAATCCGTGCCGCATCCGCAGGTGTGGGCTACACGGTGGTGATGATCGCCTTCTACGTGGACTTCTACTACAACGTGATCATCGCCTGGGCCCTGTACTACCTGGTGGCCTCGTTCTCGTCCGAGCTGCCCTGGACGCACTGCAACAACTCCTGGAACACGGAGCACTGTCTGGAGCTGGCCTTTGGGCAGCGCCTGCTCCGCCTGCCGGCCAACGACACGGCGGGCCTGCAGGACCTGGCGTCCGCCGCCGCCGTCGTCGTCGAGGGCGCCCTGGAGGACGCCACCAACGCCACCATCGTCTCCGTCCTGGGAGACTACGACGACGCCAAGGCGCTCGCCGTCGGGGTCCAAAAGAACTACACTACGCCCGCCGAGGAGTACTTCACGTGAGTGAACGCGTTCAAGTCTTAATGCCCTCACCTCCGCTCACGTCATGCTCATTTAGAATGCCGTAAAGTACTTGTGTCTCTACACCTTTGCCCAGAGTTAAAAGGTTAATTAGTAAATTTTAGTTCATTATTGAGCTAATTAGCACGCTTTTTACAATTCATGACCCCCGCCATGGCTGGCAGCTTGTTCCCGAAAGGAGCTTTTTTTATTTCACCTATCAACCCTATTCTTAGGGATTTTGTTTTTAATGCTTCGCTAAACCCTTGGTATATTGAATATTCGCCAAAGGTTTTTAGGCATGCATTAGGCAGAAATTATTACGCGTCCACGCGACATTCATATAGCAACTGGCAGGGGCGGAGATAGAATCCAGGAATTGATTCCTGGGTTCTGCAGCGCGATTCCTCCACGGGCTCGAGCGTTCGAACTCCGTTGCGGTGAGACGTTTCGGCCATTAGTTAGTTATAGTACTGCGTATACGAACGAACGCAAGCACTGTGCGTTTGCTTAAGCGTTCTGTGTTCCACACTGCGTGAGCGCGGGGCCCAAGTTTTGGTCTTGGATTCGTGCATGGCAATGACGGGCACGCACTGCGTAGAACACGCAACGCTAACGGAAAAAAAAAAAAAAACGTACAACGCTTAGAGCTCTTTATTGCCTCTGCACTGTTATTTCTTCTGAGTTCCCTTCCCCTAAGTCCGTATCCTCTTATACGGTTCCGAATAAGTATACGCGTTTTCTGACATACTGACTGACTTCCGAGTCAGACCATTTTCTGTGCCTCATCTTTCATGCTTCACCGACTGCAGAGATTAGCCTTGAGTGTTCTATGCCCGTGACCTACTTTGTAGTGGAGCACTCTGAAAGCCAATCATTGCGATCAACGGAGGGAGCGTGGGGTAAGAGAGGCAATTAGAAATGTTTTCACAAAAAAAGGAAGTCCGCGATTCGACACCGACGTTTCGCATGCTCATGTGCAGTTCGGTGCTACACCGTAGATCGCAGTGCGTATTGGATATTCGTCGAGCCACAGTGATTGCCTCTACGCTTGGTTTGCAAAAGATCTGTGTGTACTGACATTTTTAGCGCGAGGAAGCAAAAAAGGAACTTATGATCAGCCACACCGTACTTTTTCCTAAACTTTGTTCAACCCTAATAAACGGCACCATCCACATTTTTAACGATTGTGCAGTAAAAATATAAAAAAAGGACGCTTACCGGTTGGATCTAAGCTAGTCACCAGAGCGTGGAAGCGAATCCGAGGATATCAATAACGCGAAATAAAACTCAATAAACGCGGAGGGAGAGCGGGAGAGGGGGCCAGGGAGTGGCTTCTCCGTGGGGCTCGCAGATGGACGAGAGACGGCAAGCAGCATTTGGGACCAGCGGGGTGTGACCGGGCAGCGGAGTCGGCCGCCCGTGGTCCGGCTGTCACGGGGGTTACCGATGGTCCGAATATTTCCTCCGCTCACACACCGGGCTCCAACTCCCCTTGCGTAGCACTCGGCGTTCCGACGCCTTGCGTGATGCTCTTGGTGGGCCCGCTAAGCGAAGTCCCACCATCGGACGCCTCCGGAAGTGCGCGCCTATACCCGCGTACGTCTATACTCGGCTCACCCCTAAAGCTGGCAGTGCGACGAGAACTACGCTTTCGCCGGACCAATCAGCCGCCTTCGTTTCGTCCCCTGACCCAGCTCACTGCCGGCGTGGGTACGGACCAGAAGCGTGATCACGTGGCGAAAGATGGAAGCCTGACTGGTCCAACGAGCTCGTAGCTTCTCCCGCAGTGTCCGCTCAGGGGTGGACGAAAAAAGGACGTGGCTTGATCCGTCTCTCTTTCTCTCTTTTACATCGCACTATAGGCAGCAGTACGAAATGTCGCAATAAGCGGGTTCTAGGTGAGTCCTGTTCTATAATGCGGCGGGGACACCGGAAGGCTGCTGCGCGTGCAGCGTTTCTATGTGTGTGCGTTTTGGTGCGGGGGATGGCCTGGAATTGCTTCTCTGTCGGGTGTGTGGTGCGTATGTGGAGCCGGGGTAAAGCTCAACTTTGCGAAAGTGATAGATGGATGCTCTCTTTTCTGACCGGCGTGACCTAAGTGCCGCTGACCGATTTCTCTCCGCAACCGCTTTCTCACTCCCTCCTCCTCCATCTCTTTCTTCTCTATATTTGGTTCAGTTTTGTTCTTCAAAGTGGGTACGGACGTCGGTTGGGGAAATGGGGATCGGGGGCGATGAGGGAGCAACTGGGTGGTGACAGTATTCATACGGGTTGTTAATATCTCTCTATGTCATGAATTCGTGACAACGTATACTCAGGAAGTTGGTTTGAATACTTATTTATCCTTTCCTTGCGGCGTCTGAAGACGCATACATACTTGTTGGTATGCGTTGGTATTCGCAACTCCAACGCTTCTATAGATGGTGTGACGGAGGTTCCAAGGGGGCGAAAAAGACGGGGATAGATTCCCCAGGGTTTCCCGTGCGCCTGCTCGCTAACGCTGGTCAGTGTGCTAAAATTAATTTTATTTTGGCTACAAATACGAAGCGGTCAGGGCAGGAGCATATCACAGGTGACGGAGATCTTGAGGAGCGTTGAGAAAATGAGTATGGTGGTTTATTCGCGACTCCAGCGACCTATAGGGGGCGCCACCACCAAACAGAAATGGCGGCTGAGTCCAGGTCGCGTCGGCTCGACGGGGCCGCCTGAACAGGTGGCCCTGTCGTTTCGTTTAATGCCCAATTTTATAGGTTTTTTAATTGAGGCGGTTAAGTTATGCCGGCGCACATAAGTTTGCAAAGCATAGTTTTGTTTTCCCGGTGTTTTTTGTTCTTTTGATGTCAAACTTTTGTTTCGGAAATTTCGTACAAAACCGAAACTACGGGTTCCGGAGAGACGGTAAGATACTATTCCGTTTTGATCATCCAAGAAAAGCGGCGATGACTACAGAATTGTTCCACCGAGAGTAAGTTTCAGCTAACCCGCATGCCTCGACCATGCGACTTATCTGTCCGCGAAATCGAGCTTTTGTGCGTATCCGTGTTTAAGTAACATCCAGTCGTCTGCTCGGCCAACAACACAGGCTGCAGGAAAATTAAGAAAATTAAGCAAGCGCTTCTGCTAAGGACCATGTTAACCCGCCGGCGCCCCACTAAGCAGCTGATAGTCGTATTCCAATTCAGGTTTTAGTAGCAATCGAGAAGTCATTTTGACGAGCGGGTTATGTATTATATTACGCACTATGTCCCACTAAAGCGATATTAGTATATTCTTCGGGTTGAAATATGAGCTTAGTTGACTAGCTATTAGGTGAACTGCTGAATTATATTTGACAGACAGCGAGATACTACTTAAACTTAGCCGAATGGTCCTAGCCGGCAGCACGGAGACAAACTGAACAGAGTGTTCATCGGAGATTCACGCACAACCTCTCTGCATTGAACTTTGCTTCAAATCCTCAACAAAACAAATTAGTTTTTTTTTTGTTTTTTTTTTTTTGTGGCCGGTTAATCTGAGCAATGTAGACGTATATTGCTGCTGGCTTCGACGGGGGTATAATATAAATATTGGAGGCGCGATAGATCGAAATGCCGTGACAGCTTCTAACGTTGCGAGACTCGTCCCCCACCTTTTGAAATCAGATCATTTCCCTCATTCATCATTTGCAGCGAGCAGGTTTTCCTGAATCAAGTAATTGCGAAATCAGCCCAAACTCCTTCAGTGTGGTCCAGAATCTATTTCGGCGAAAAGCAGCCAAGATGAATAGCCAACGCACCGACCGGCGTGGGTGGCTCAAACTTGAAGCTAATCAAACATAGCCAAACTCAAGAAAAGCAGCTGTCGAACCTTCCCATTCACTTGACTGCAACATTGGTGTTGCCTACAGTGTAACGCCTCGACTGTCGTCCTCAGTCCACTGTTCTACATCCGTATAAAGAAACCACTTATCAGTTACCAAGTAGTCGTCACTTTGAATGGGATTAGAAACAGACAAATAATCAAAACCTTTTTCCGTGATTCCTTTCCATCCAAGAAATCGAAAGCACGCGACCGTGTGCTGTGGACTAAACGGTCTTTCAAACAGGTGATGGAAGAAAACAATCTACTGAGGCTTCCCCACACTAATGAACACTCAGGCAAACTTAAGAAATTTTCGGACCTTCGTCAAATTACACTGTTCGCAACCGCGCCGACAACACGTGTCCGCGAAAACCACCAGAGACACGGAGGGGCGCGGAGCGACCTGGTCCGGCTGGTTCCCGGTTTTCCCGCTTGGTGGCGTCCGTTTTGCTGGAGTCGCAAATAAAAGTGGCGAAGCGAAACACAACAAGTTCCTTTTTAGCGTGCTCGTTTTTTTCCGTGAAAACTATAAGATACACGAACACGCCAACCGAAACAATGCGGTAACAGGAGCCCTAAGACCGACAGTCCCGGCAACCGTCTCCGCCGCCGTCCCCGCTCCCCTAGTTCTTCGTTCGCCCACAAGAGGGCAAGCAACGGGCTGGTGTTGCAGTAGTCTAACGCACGTCAACGTAGACCAACGAGCGTTCACCTTGATAGAGCTTGTCGTAAATGAGACAGCTCCAGCAGCCGGGATCAATGAGCGAACCACAAGGCTGCCATTGGATGGTTCGATCTCTTATTAACACGGGTCCTGTATGACGGCGATCGCCGATGGGAAATCAACACCGGTGCTCTCTGAAATCACCGCCCGACTCTAGCGATAGGTAGATGCACGGATGCACACGGCTGAACTCTATAAGTCAGGAGGCGGGGTTGTGCCAACCGGCACAGGTTTATAATAAGACCAGTTAATATTTACAGCCGGAAACGTCGCAGAGATAACAAAGACGAGGAAGGTGTAGAAGCGACAAGCGCTGGTCCCGCACAGCGCTTGTTCCGCCTGTACGTTCCTCGTCTTCTTTATTTGTGCTATGTTTTCAGTTGTATCACCAACCAACTCGCCTGCATCGTGCGAATGGCGCGTGATTTGCTCGCTTTCCGAAGCGACGGATATGCGCGCTGAGGAGATTGCACGCTGGGCTGAGGACTGGCAAATTTTGGAATGGTGCATAGTCACGGACAGGATGTGAAGGGAAGAGACGCTTTTTTGTTGTCTCGTCTCCAGCGTGACCTTCCTACCTTCGATAGCACCTCGGCGTCTCGTGATCCTCGAGCGTGCGCGTGCAGAGTTCGACGATGGAGTCATAGAGTGCCCGGTCGCAGATCTGGAGTGTGAGGATCTGGTCGCTCAGAGAATCAAAGAGCCATATCTCGGGGAAACTGGACGTCAGCGCACATCTTTTGCAGCAGTGAGGACCGGAAACACACTTGTTCGCTCGGGAGAAGTGTGTTTCGGCGTCTCGCCGCAGGGGGGCGCAAGTCACGTGACTCTCCTCTCATCCGTTATCTGCCGCGCCACCTTTTTCAAGTTGGGCGGCGGCTTCTCGTGGCGATCTGCCAGGTTTTGTCAGTATATAGGAGGCTACGACACAGCGGAAGACCACGAGCGCGTGCCGAAGTCCGGACATCTGAAAGAGACTCCCTGTCGTTCTTATCCTTTCAGTGACTATATACAAGTGTTGTACGGAATAGTGTTCCTGGAACGCGTTCCTTTCAGGAGAAACGAAGGAATGCCGCCGTTTCATCTTGCATCGGTGGAACCGGAACGGGAACTGGCTACGCTTTTATGGGAACGGAAAAAGGAACGGCGTTCCTCTTTTTTCCTCCAGTGAGATAATTTTTATTTTATTTCTAAGCGGGAAACACTAAAAAGGATAAAAAAATCAATATTTTTTTCTTTTACGAAGAGCAGGAGTTTGTTAACATTTTTGTTACTTATTCTAATGTCTATTTTGTAGGGTCCTCGATTGGTAGCAGTCGGGTGCAGGTGAGCTGGATGACATTAATTCTTTGTTCAGCGCCCGAGACTGCAGCACAACAAGCAAAACGTTTAGTCGAAGGAAAAGGCACAAAAAGAGAGACGTCTAAAACTCGGCGACTTTCTTTGCTTCCACGAATCCTCATACACCCAGAAATCTAAGTCCGACTACAGCCATCACTGAACTTGCACAAAGAGACCTACAGTTACGCTAAAATACCTGGTTACCAGACATCGAACGCACCCCTTGCAGCCCGAACATTGGTCACTTAAAAGATACACACAAATTAACCTTTATTCCCTCTCCCCTTCTCCCCCACCCAAAAACTGAACAACGAATCCGACCTTCACAAAGAGGGACTGGCAGTTTTCAAGACTGACCTTCCAAACGCCCTGCCCTCTTCTTTACTTGCTCGCCTTGCGGACAGCAACATCGAGAAGCATCGAGAAGGGACTTACATTGAAATGCGTGGGGGTGCTCGTGCAGTGTCGGATAACCCTTTAATAAAAAAATAATAAAATTAACCCCACTCCTTGTTCCCGGATCACAGTGCATTTGGCTCTCTGAATCACCCACCACAAACAGGAATATGGTAAAATGCTGAAAATGTTAAAGGTGAATATATCAACAAATGGAACCTTGCTTCCGGTTGTTTCCTTCTCCTTGTGCCCTTCCATCACGGCATTCAAATTCGTATGTGGCCATTTGATGGGACATATATAAAACTTCGTTTGATGTAACTAAATATGGTAATTAGCAAAATATAAAAGTAACGTATATGTAACGATACATTTAATTGCAACGGGAACGAGTCTCTTTCTCACAGATAGAACTTGTAACGGGAACGTGTTCCAAAAATCAGAAGGAACGAGCTTTCGTTCCTCTTTTGAAGGAACGCGTACAACACTGCTACATACTATGTAAAACACAAAGTAAATGGCGCGCCCTTGCAGGCGCCATCTACTGGAGCTGCAGCACAGCTCGGGCATCGACGACCTGGGTTACGTCAAGTGGGACATGGCCCTGTGTCTCTTCGCCGTCTACATCATCTGCTACTTCAGCCTGTGGAAGGGCATCTCCACCTCGGGAAAGGTGAGGGCTGACGGGTTCTCGAAAGAGAGCTGTCTTCGGTGCTAGCTATAGATCTACTCAATCAGCTACGCTTTAAGTATCGGCACTCCGTCCCCAGACAGTCTTGTGGGCGCCGCCATGTTGGTATTTTGTGCGGGGCGGACGCGATTGGCGATCGTTGGGATTTGAAAATGCGACATCCCGAGTTTTTAGACACGGCGACGGGAAGCTCAGGCGATAACGTCTTGCTCCGTCAGGTACCGTCTGAAAGGAGTACGGAAACTAAATTTTAGAGCTCATGTTTTTGGTTTAACGTGAAGCGGGTTGAAGTAGGACTTCACCAATACCAATATTTTGTAGAAAAACGCACGAAAGCATATTTTAAAATAATTAAATGGTAATCAAGAACCACCTCGTAAGTGTCTGTGAAGCTTCGATGAAACGTCGTGACGGCATTTTGTCAGTAAGAGCAGCGCCACAATGGGAAGTACGCACACTCATAGAAATTACTTAGGCCTGAACGTAGTACCGAGGTGCTCTGGCGAAGAAACTAACAACAAAGTTCGCCAGATTGGTTTCAGTTTCGGGTGGTCTTTTTCTGGCAACGCTTGTTTGAGGTGGCCTGGGGATTGTGTCCCTGTGATTTAATGTCGACGCTACGAGATGTCGAATTAAATGTGCCCGACTGCGAATATGCCGATGACGGGATAGCCGCCTCGATCGACTGCTACGAACTCGATCGCTATAAAATCGACGTAACTACCATAGTTGCTTAAAGGAGACGGTCCGCACTTGCTCTGCAAAGCGTCGCACATGTAAACAAATCGCCACGGCGTTTTTCGTGGCTTCGGGGAGGCGGGAAGTGGCCGACGTCCAGGAAGATATGTTCGAACCAAAAAAGTGTCAGTAAGAGCCACGTAAATACCTGTTCACACTGTCAGCAGAACCGCACTGGTACCGCGCTCTTGGTAACCGATCCGAGACAACCGATTTTATGAACCGCTGGCCCACTACACAATCGCAGATCGACGCTGACGTGACGCTCGGCAGAGGGAAATTAGACCGGCATTTAGTATGTCCCAAAAACTGCTGTAACTCGGTAAGTGTTGACGTACCGTAATCTCGGAATAAAAAGGACATACTAAAACAAAAAAAAGGCATGTACCCATGTTGCGAGGGCAATCCATATGGCGTTTATTTGAGCTCTATAAGGATATAACACACACAAAAAAGAGATAGAACCGATTAGGTGCCTTTTTTCGACGAGGGCGTTCGCCACCGCTGCATCTGAAAACACGCTACGGGAACGATGGGGGAAAATACTGGACTTCTTATCCCAAAATAGAGGTTAGGGTTCAAAATATTTATGCGGGAAGGGTCTACAAATGTCGCGTGGGCATATTCCATTCAAAAAGCCTGCCGGTCGAAGGAAGGTGGTCTTAGCTAGGGTCGCCGGAGCGTCGGAGCAACGTTGCGTTGTCGTCGCTCAGGCTTTTATGGGTATCCGTGATTCCAGCGTTTGTCTCCACGGCGTTCAGTTTCAAGTACTTTTTCTTTTTTCTCGCTGCGTGAAGTCGGGACGCGCGCAGAGAGCACGTAGAAGTGCCCGTTGGTCGTCGCGACGACGTAAGCGAGCAATTTTGCTGGCCAGGTCGATGTGATCGTGAAAAGTACGCACAGCTCTAGAGCTGTCGTAGGATTTCATCGTAACTTGCGCAAAACGTACGATAATTTCGATCCTTGAATACGGATTTGTTTTTAGACTTGGTCGAACGCACCTTTTGTGCCGTAAGATCGTTTTGTGAATAAGCTCGAGATCTGCTGCTCCCCGTTGCGGAAGATGAAAATAAGGCAAACGGGTCATACAAATGCTGCTATTGGCCAACGCTCCTTTTACTAACAAGCTCTCACGATGTGTGGGAAAACGCGCAGTTTTTGCACGAGGTGTGGGCAATGAGCATGCGCAGGAACCAGATTCGCGTGAAGTGGAGCGTCTGCACATGCGCCCTGCCGATAGCGGCGCCACCGCAGCGGAAGTGACGTCAGCGCCGTGTCTTGGTGATCATGGCCACTGATGGTGTGGCGGCGTCTACGCTTGATGCCCTCATGCCCTCCGCTCTCGTCGCGTTGGTCGGCCATCACACACAGGAAGCAGCTCCGCCGGCTCCGCGATATGCGACAGCCCTCGAGTACTTCACCTAAGCGAAATTGTAGCGCGTTGACGCCTCCAAGTGGAAAAACTCATAACTACGGTACACTTGGCCCTGCATATGATATGATGCAGGCACGTATCCAGGATTGTTTCGGGGGAGGGGGGGGGGGGGCGCCCATGACAAAGTGCTGTATGAGGGGTGAAGGGGAGGGGGGAGAGGAGGCCCCAGAAAAATGAAAGATTTCGAGGGGGGGGGGGGCCCATGCCCCCCCCCCCCCTCCCTGGCTACATGCCTGATATGATGACGTCAAGGCCGCGCCGGATCTCCCGAGATGCATCGCGCTCTCCGATGGTTGATTTTTAAGCGCTCGCAAAAGTCCCGGCATTTAAAACAAAGAAAATAGAGCCATCCGCCTGAAATACCATCATGCGATTATCAATGACAAATATAGCTGATCATATTCGACTTATCATTGATGTTTTTTTGTATAGTTTAAGTTTTGATTCAGTATCTCTTTAACGTTCCTAAAGAATGGAAGACCATTTCTCCCGACTGCAGATAAAGCTTCAGACAGCTGGCAACAGCCATTTGAAGCACCAAAATGACTGAAAGGTCGCTGTTCTAAAGGGTGTGGCTTAATATGGCGGCTATAGATCGGTCAAATTAAGTTTATTGAACGCTGGTCTGAGTCACGCAGTGTGCACGCAGTAATCTCCCAGTGAAGAGATTGGTGTAGGTCTCCTTCCCAAGTAGTTTGTGTAAACAAAAGTAAGCGCAAGGCCGTTTTCCTGGGATAAATGTGTTGCAGTATGGAATCAAGAGGTAAATTCTCCCGCGTTTATGATCTTTTCTTAGCAAACGATCCCTTCGTTCTTTATCTATAAGCTGAACTTGATCCAACATTTTCAGATGCAAAAAAAAAAAAAAAAAAAAAACTCAACTTGTCTGAACAAAATGGTTCAAAATGACAGATTAAAATACAATTTTCCCCTCTTCGTTATCTTGGTTTCGGTTTGTAACCTAATCTCTCGTTTTACTTTTAGGTACATTTAAACCAATAAAAAAAGTTATTTGCAGGTTTAACGAGAAAATGTATTGAAAAGAATCAAAGTGCTTCAATCTAGTTCCTGCTGTTAGAGAGAATTTGAGCGTAACAAAATAATACTAAGTTTTTTTTTTCTTAAATTTAGTGAGGGTCGTTTGGTTTTATCCCTTTTCCAGTTTTATGCTGTTGATTTTCTGAACGATGCCTCGTTAGTTTGACGATCGGGTCTAGCTGCCAAAAAAGTTGCATTCTGCCTCGAAATCTGGGAAATAGCCGGTTGGAATGCCGAGGGGAAGGGACTCCGGTGGTGACCGCTAGGCGACGGGCACTCAGGTCGAAGCTGGCACGGTACTTCCGGTTGAAAGCTAATTGGCTGCGGCCGCCGGAAGTGCGGAAGAAAGAAGGAGAGATTCAATATAGGGTCCACTAAGAAAGCGTCTCTACCCCCGCAGGGACAAAAAACAAACAAAAAAGAATTACCCATAATAAGAGTAAAACGAAATAAATAAATGGTAGCAACAGGAAGCGAAAGGACAGGAAGCACCCGGCCACCAGCGCCGTCAGCGTCACCACCGCTGACGCCAGACAGGGAAGGAGGGGAATGGGGGAACGCCGAAGCAAAAGCCGCTTTAAGGAACGCCGCCTAATGCAGTCAGACAGGGGATGCGGAACGTGGCACCTTCTGCCTGTGGCACAAAAGGCTTTTCAAAGTTGAAAAATAAAGCGAAGGTGGTACGTTTGTTGTCTTGCTGGTTGTGCCTCTAGATCTGGGTCTGGGACTAGGGATCGTTTCCCCTCTTTTCTTTTTTTGTTGTAGTACGGTCGAGCTAGCTCGACGAAGCATTAATTTTAGGAACCTTCTACGGGTGCTTTTATGTCACCCTTTAGGGGAGATTCAGTAAACGATGCGAGAGTATTATTTGAGGCTCCGCATTTTAGCGACATGCAACTGTTCCTTGATCACGGTAAAAAGAAAGCCGTTGAGAGAGTCCTAGTTTTTGAAAAAGATTCCTGTCGCATGCTCAAGTTCTTTGTGTAAAAGACCGTTCTATCAATGTCGAAAGAAAATAAACTTTTGAAATTTTTCTCAGCAGAAGCTAAAAAAAAAAAATTATTTCCTTTTTTTTGTGTATGTTTTGACATGTGTCCTACTCTTGACTATTTTCTCAACAATCGTTGTCGGGATTTGTATTGGTTTCGCAGCATAACTCCAGTGCAGCGTGAGAAGCCACTTGGCCGCAGCCTTTTTGTTTTTCCGACAATAAAACTTTGTAGACCTTTCCAAAAGAATGGCTCCTGGCCGGTTCCATTTTCAGTGTTCGTGCGTATGGCGCGTGATTTGCTCACTTTCCGAAATGACGAACTTGCACGAGCTGGGTTGAGGAGATGGTACGTTGGACTGGTAAATATTGGAATATTGGGACTTGTAAATCTTGGAATGGTGTATAGTGAACTTTCAGTGCGATATACTTAAATGCCTGCGCGGATAACAGCTGGACGAAGTCCGCATCCGCAGACTTCGTATCCGCATCTCAGCCACATCCGCAAAATTCAGCAACCGCATTCGACCCTCCATCCGCGCATTCATTTTACATCGTAAACTCAAGCATGAATAAAAATTTAAAAATGCATCAGGATGGTATCCTATAAGCTGTCTGCTCACCTTTGTACAAAGAACTCTTCGTGTCAGAATACGGTGAAGGTAATTGTATCGTATTCAGAAAATTATCTTTCCAGAGACACTTCGCATCTATGAAAAAATTAGGGCAGTTATGAGATCGTCTTGGCAGTCCGTGACACTTGCACACTTTCCAGAAGATGTGCTTAAATCATGCAAATTAACAAAGCACAGGCTAATAACATTGTGTCATTTTATTTAGGAAAAAAAAAGGGGGGGGGGAAGGAAATTTGGTCACTCACCGCAGCAAAGTACTCGCGTATATGTGGTAAGCAGCAAATACAGCACTGGGGAAATGTAACAATATTCAATAATGTCAATACCTCCAATTGGTTTCAGTTTTAGACACGAACCTTCAACTGAATTATTTTGCAATACCCCCAAGCACCGACGCCGCGTGTGATGTCGTACATCTTCGTACCACCATCACACGCATCGTCAGTGGTTGGAGGCATTCAGAAATAAGTTTACAGTCTTGAAACACGCAAGAAGAGCAACATAATTGTAAGAAATCTCGGGAAATAAGCATGAGTCATAAGATTATTGCCTGCACAGTGCCAAAGACGCTCATATTGGCCGAGGAACGCTTTCAGTACGATGATGCTCCATAGCGACCTTGGTGCGGCTGGTTTTGACGACCCTTTTGAAGATTCGATGCTTTGAAAGGGTCCAAAATGGCGATTAACTTGGCAACCGACAGCAATGAGCCAATCAACTTGAGAGGTCTTGTCGTCTGTATGCTGGAATTTGTTTGTTTCAAGCTAGCAGGTGGGAAGGCAATGACGCTACTTTCCCAGATCCAGTGACTTTAGGTTCAACCAACGAACCTTTCTTGTTCTCCGGGTGAAGGACATTCCCAGCTGTAGAATTCGACTGACGTGCTCAGCGATGAACCTTGCTATACTGTCCTACTGTTTCGTTGTTTTTCGGGTTGCCTATCTGCCTTTGTCGCAATAGACGCATACTCGGGTTAGAATTAACACGAGGCTGTTTAAACGGTGTTGCACACGCCACTCCTCAAAAGTAACGAAATATCATTACTCGTTAGTTGGCTTTTGAAGTAACTAGGTACGTTACTCGTTCCTTTCCTAAAAAGTAACTAAAAACGTTACTCGTTACCAAGAAAAGTAACTAAATAGAAGTAACTCGTTACTATTAACGCGTTACGTACGTGTCTTGTCGTTCCCGACGGTTCACGTTGCACTCAGATGGCATTAGATAGGCTTAGATGAGTCGCGGGGTTTTCCGCAGTTCACCGTAAAGTAAAACAGAGTATATACTAGCGCTCGCACGCGCAGTAGTGAACGTGGCAGTTTTTTTTTTTTTTTCGAATCTGTTTCATTTTGTTGCTTTCCCCTGTTGACACACCTCGATTCCTACGATCTCCAGGTGGTCTGGTTCACAGCGCTGTTCCCGTACTGCGTGCTCTTCATCCTGCTGGTGCGCGGCACCACGCTTCCTGGAGCCGCCCAGGGGATCGCGTACTACCTCACGCCGGATTTCTCGGTGCTCTACAACCCGAGGGTGAGTAGACGCCAGACGTGGGGTCCGATCTTGGTCACCGGGACAGGGCAAGCGAGATCTACTTTTCCTCTCGCGGAGCGAGCGAGGATAGCATTCGTGGACAGTGTGTCTGCTAACGCGAGCGAAGGACGCAGTTCGTCTCATAAGAAGCGTCATTCGCTGACAAAAATAGCGCAGGAAAAAGCCGCGCGTCATTTGCTAACACATCAACGAGGAAAAAAAAGTGCCGGGATTGTTTGCTACGAACTGAGTCCCACTGCAGAATAAGATCGGACGCAGGCTGAATTCTGTAATCGTCTGCTATTTTATGTTTGATGTGTTTGACAACCCTTGTCTTGTTTGCAAACCTCGGGTCGTTCTGCTGCCGTACACAAGCTGACACAGATTGGCAGGTTAAGAAAAGGTAAAAATAAGTCTTTTGAAACATCAGAGGCCGGGAAACCTCTCTCGCCATTTGAATGTTGGTGAGAAGTTCTCACCAAAATACTGCACGATCTTGTACTCGTGAACGGGTCAAAAATTTTCGCGCTGGTCGGTATCGCTCGCCGAGAAGAATCCTGTGACTTGACACGTTTAACCAATAGCCGAGAACGTTCCCGCTCTCACTGTGACTAAAAGTGGAAGCTCAGCATGACCTTTGTTCCGACACAGTGGGAACTCGGATTTTGGTAGCTCGTGTGCTTTGTTCGTTTGGCAACGTTTCCTGCGAGACTTTGTTGCGAGTTCGCTTAATGAGTTAAAACCATTCAAAAAATAATGACAAAAAAAACAAAAAAAAAAACGCGTTGAGGTAGAAGCGGTACTATAAGACATTGCGGGGTTGCCAAGAAACCCTACTACATCTAACTAAAATTATACTGACTAAAAATTTAAAAAATCTTCGGGGAAAAATTATTATTTTTAATGAGAGATTGTGTGTCCCATTTATCACTAGTGTATTCCTGTCCCGTTGTTCTTATTCAAATTGTACAACAACAGACACAGGTTTGGAAAGTCAAATCAAATCAAATCAAATCAGTTTATTTTCACCTTGTACAAAGATGATGAGGGAGCTATGGAAAATAGCTAGAGCATTGCAGCTTGACGAGTCCACAGACCCCCAATATTGGCAGCTAAGCAGCATCGTGCTAAAGTATTCACAGAAGAGAAAAACAAAAACAAAAAAAGGCGGAAAGAAAAGTAATCTTAACACTACATTGCAACAACACACCCACAAAAAAAAATAATTGTGATCATAAATGTTCAGGGCGCACGCATATAACCAAAAAAAAAATCGTAACAATCATACTCTCTCAGTTTCATACATTCTACGGAGTTCACTGTATTTACGGGTAAATAAATCAAAATGCACAAGATGATATCTATTTAATAAAGACGGTAGTATGAAACTTAGGCAATCCTTTCCATAGTTCGAACGAAGTGTACGCACTACCCAATTTTCTCTATGTCTTGTTGAGTAAGTAGCGTATGTTCTTTATTTGAAGATGAGCCAGATCACGTAAGTCCGTAATATTGTTTCGTGTTTCTTATTTATACCTCAAACATTAATCGATATTTATACAAGTTGAATGCACTAATCACATGGGAGCAATAGAAAAAGTTAGTACTTGGCGCTCCATAAGGGTTATGGTAAATATGCCGAAGACATTTTTTTTTGAAATATATGAACAAGTTGAAGGTTTCAAAATGTTGTTGTTCCCCATACCAATTGACAATAGTTTAGATGAGAGTGAAAGAGCGAATTATAAAGGAGTAACTTAATTTTTGTGGAAAGAAGGTATTTAATACTACCTATAATGCCTGTGATCTAAGCTATCTTAGTTACTATATGGTTTATGTGGCTATCCCACAACATAGTGGAAGAGAGTATGACACCAAGGCACTTAAAATGTTCAACAATTTCTATAGAACGTGAATTTAAAATGATATCTTTATGTACTGGAACTGGCTTTTCTTTTGGTCTGAATATGACTGCTTTAGTTTTTACTTCATTTATCTGCATGGAATTAGAAACTGACCACTTTTCTATTGTTTTTATTTTAAAATTACATTTGTCTACAAGCTTGTGGATGTCATTACCAGGAAATAAAACACTTGTGTCATCCGCGAATATAATGAATTTGGTTGTAGGGTTGATGTTCACAATGTCACTAAGATAAATGTTAAAGAGTAGCGGCCCCACTATACTACCCGTCGTGCCTTTGTTATGCCTCTGTTATGGTTAATCTTACGAAGAGGAAGAAATATTTATTTGCTCTATGTCATTTTGCCTCCATCGCTGCCAAATCGTTAGTTCTTCGGTGGGGATAAAAATGTTACGACGGCTACTTGAGTTTTGGAATGACGTTCGGATGTGAAGCCGCAGGCTTCACATCTACAACTTAATTCATCAACATCAACGTCACATCAACAACAGAGTTAAAACTGTACGTATTGACCTTTCCAATGTTTACAAAATCACAGTCCAGCGTGCGATCTTCACAGCCCAGCACGTGCATGTTCGTCGCTTCGGAAAGCGAGCAAAGCACGCGCCATGAGCACTAACACTCAAAATGGCACCGGCCACAACCTATTTTCTTTTTAATCTATAGAGTACCAGAAAAAAAATCAGCGTACGAGAAGACGTGGGAAAAAAAGAGAAGTACATAAGACAAGTGCTCTCTTCTGAACTTATCTCAATGATGTCACTGCTGAGCCATTTGCTCCAAATTGCTTCACAAAGAAAAGTCTGCTACATCTTGCTCCAAAATGCCATTTTTGCTAACAATTGCGCCACACCTGCGCCAGTAAGCTTCAACAGACACACACAAAAAAAAGAACAATATTTATTTATTGGTCGACAATAATATTCAGGGAAGTTGGCTGAAAGGAAAAGGATACAAATATGTACATAGTTCACAGCGTCTCTACTTACCGTATAGTTGGTCTCATCTTAGGCCAGAGCACAGTCGAAGGTTCGGACGCGTACAACCGCGAAGCTTCAATGTTGTAGGCGTTACCGAAAAGGAGTAACCAAATACGGTCTTTGTTAGTTGCAAATAAAAGAAGAAGCGCGTTACGGAGCTTAGTTACCTTAAAAGGAAAGGAACGCGTTACCGCTACCGTTCCCGTTAAAAAGTAACTCACGTTACTTTTGCGCAGCTTTTATAATTATGAATTAACACTTTTTACTCTTTGACGTTACAGGTATGCGTCAGCGCCATATTTCGGGAAACATTATCTCCATCCAGAAACTGAACAATATTTACCTTATCCTTTTTCCTGTTCCACATAAATACTAAAAAAAAAAAAAAAAAAAGAAAAACTCCAAGGAAACGCAAAAATATATATGGTTCGCGCCTAGAAACACGAAAATATGGCAAGAGTAATTTTGTTTTAAAGTCTCGCGAAAAATAACTAAAAAGTGGATTAACTACGTTACACGTTATTCTAGATAAGTAACGTGAGGACGTTACCCGTTACTGTTTTGGAAATGTAACGAGTACATTACACCGTTACCGGAAAAAGTAACGCTTTTCCAGTAACGCTGTTATTTGCAACGTATCACTGCCGACATTGCCACAGACTCTCACACAAAAAGTGCAAGTCACGGAACATTTGCTGCACTTCCTTGGTCTAGCTGATGAAAGAACTCTTATAGAAAATGACGAATGTCATGATGTCGCGATCTGACGCTGTTTGATCGGTCCCGCTGGCTTGTATCGTCGGCTGCGCATTGACTTTAGATGAAACAAAGATTTTTGTCAACAGCCTGTTTAATCACCCGACATCGTCTATATTTTCACGCGATGTCAGGAGCAAACGCGAGATAATTTTGTAAAATATTAAAATGGCGGACACTGTGATAAGACAGAGCCAGCGTCATGTACTACCATAGCCTCCTCTATACTCACAAAGCTTGGCAGTTCTTCTGTCTGTCTGTCAAATCTGTGACCGGGCACTCTTGGCAGAGCCATAGAGGAGTGCCTGGTCACAGATTTGGAGAGCGAGGATCTGGTAGCACAGAGCATCAAAGAGCCATTTCTCGGGGAACCTGGACGTCAGCGCACATCTTTTGCAGGAGTGAGGACCCGAAACACACTTGTTCGCTCGGGAGAAGTGTGTTTCGGCGTCTCGCCGTAGCGGGGCGCCAGTCACGTGGTTCTTCTCTCATCTGTTGTCTGCCGCTCCACCTTTTCCATTTCGGCGGCCGCTTCTCGTGGCGATCTGCCAGGCTTTGTCAGTATATAGGAGGCTATAATACTACTGATCCGTGGCGTAGCCAGGAACCTTTAGGGGGTGGGAAGGGAGGGGGGGGGGGAGGTGGCTTGTATGTCAATGACTTGGGGTGCGGAAGGGGGCAAGGGGCGTGGGTCGAAATGCATGTGTATATTATAGCAGCGTATGCACTTGGGCTAGTTGGTGATCCATGTTTGTGAGGGTAAAAGCGCTAAAAAAAACGGACAAGTAAAAGAAACGTACAACACAGAGCGCTCTGCGTTGTACGTTTCTTTTACTTGTCCGTTTTTTTTTTAGCGCTTTTACCCTCACAAAAACGTATATTATAGCGCCGACTGGATTTCGGGGGGGGGGGGGGGGCGGGGGGGGGGGTAAGCTTTCCTCCCCTACCCTGGCTGCAACACTGGTCCTGATGAGATCGCTTGATTATCATGTCTGCCACATGACTCCGTGCCGTGGCTAGATAGTACCGCGGCCCTTGCGCCGCTCGCGTGAACCTTCACAGTCTCGCACCAGAGCGCGCGTCACGCTTCACCGCTTTGCATGGGAGTGCTAGGAGCAGCGGCTAACATGGGGGAGCGCCTGGGAACCTTTCTTGATCTTCATTGTAATTTAACCTTTAATTAAAAAAAAAAAAGAAAAGCTGTGCCGATAAGTAAGGAATATGCTTGTTTTTATGGCATTTTAGAGCAATTATATTCGGGCTAAATAAACTACCGAGTGTAAAAGGGGGAGAGGAGTGAGGCTTTATCCCAACTGAAGTGTTGCTCCATGATTCATTT